CCGTGCTGCCTTTGGATTTAGAAAGACTTTTCTAAGGAAAGTAGGGAAAGAGAAAGGAGACAGGAAATATCGATAAGGATGAAGGAAGAGACAAGGGGGAAAAGAGAAGAAAAAACTCCCAGAGTTGGGAGGCTGTTTCTGAGAAGATTCTTTCTCTGTCCTCCCTGATCTATAATAAAGTGTTGTGGATACTGAAGAAAAAAAAAATCCCAGGATTAAACAATAAAATAACTACCCCACAATTAGCACTCACACATTATTATTTTTATTTCATTAACATTTCCTTCTTCTCGTTTTATTTTAGGAATGAATTAAAATTCTCTCATATTATGCATGGGGTATGTCTGTCTATTCTTGTACTTCCTGGTTTAGAACTCAATGCTGCTGACACCAATTTGATGATGGGAAATGAGAAATGTGGTCACCCTTTGCAAGCAGCTCCCTTATTATTGGAAACCTGGAATTTGTTTCTCCTCCAATTTAGGGAGATGCACTTTTTTCCCTTTTATGAAACAGCCTTTCCAGCTTCTGAATGACACCCACTGTGTACAGCAGATGACAAGACACAATGGCCATTTGTTGAATGGATGAATGAGGATGGAAACCAATTAACAATTGAGGATAATGGAAGAGACCTTCATACAATACACTGACCCCAAATCACAATACAGGCTAATCGTCAGAAAGGAAATAGACTGCTGTTTATCTTCCTATTTATTGGCTAAGTGTCTCGTAAACTAGCTTTGTCCTTGGCTTGGAGCTTCATAAGCATTCATGGTTGGGCTCGTCAGATGCAAATTGAGTTCAGATGTCACTCAGAGAACGTGAAGTGTGATTTGAGTTCCCTGTTAATACTCACGGCTTGTTTCAGGTGCACACGCACACGTACACACATACCCTTGCATTTGTGAGTTTGTGATGCTTGCCTTATTTCAGATGGCTTTTCCAGGGATTAAGAATGTGAACGTGTTACAGAGTTGCAGGGCTTATTCCAGCAATGTAAGCTTTGACGTTGTTTCTCCTGTCCCCCTAGGTCCCGTGGAGCATGTGCATCTTCAAGTTCCGTTTGTCGCCATAAGAAATAAAGAAGTCAACGTCAGTGCAGTAGTGTGGCCCAGTCAGCTGGGGACACTCACCTATTTCTGGTGGTTCGGCAATAACACGAAGGTTTGGATCTTTCTGATTGGTGGAGACTAGGGACCCAGGGGTGCTGGCAATACGCATCTGAAAACTCACTCCCCTCAATAGTTTCTGACTCATAGCAACACCGTTAGGACAGTGTAGAACTGCCTCACAGGATTGCTTTATCTTTATAGAAACAAGTTACCATATCTGTTGCCTAGGGAAGAGTGACCTTTTGCTTAGTACCTGAGTACTCTTTCTAGTGTGTCAGCAGGAGTCCTTGGTCCTGGCAGTGTTGTTTTTCTTGTTATGTACCATTCATTGAGTTGGCTAAGACTCATAGCATCCCTATAAACAATGACTCTAATCTTCTCCCTATCCTGAGTACACTTCACTATCTCTGACACCCTGACCCCATTGCCACAGTCACTGTATCAGTCTGTCTCATCCAGGGTCTTCCTCTCTTCACTGACCTTCTACCCTTCCAAGCAAGATGTCCTTATCCAAGGACTTGTCCTTCCTGACAACATGCCTAAACTATGTGAGACAGAGTTTCAAAATCCTTGCCTCCAAGGAGCAACCTGTTTCTACCCTCTCTAGGACAGACTTGTTTGTTCTTTCAGCAGTGTGTGATATGTTCTTCACTGTTCTCCAGCATTACAAGTCAAAGGCATTGATTCTTCGTCTGTCATCCGTAGTCATTGTCCAGCTCTCAGATGCATAGCAAGCAACTGAGACGACCATGGCCTGAATCAGGCACAGCTTAATCTTTAGACTGACATCATTGCTCTCTAAAACTCTGTTGAAGTCCTTAACTACAGGTCGTGCTGGCAAAAGAGAGTATTTGATGAAGCTATGACACCACACACCTAAGAAATGCCTTTAAGCTGCCAAGTTCTTTATTTTAATTGAAAAAGTTCACATGGTCCTAAAAGAAAAAGAATTTTGAAAGATCACACAAATATGCATGTTATTTGTCCTCTTATTAAGAATTCTAGAATTTCTTTTGCTACAATTTGCTTTAAATCTGAATTTTCTATTATTTATATTTGACTGGCAAGTGAGTGGATTCTGTAGGTGTGGGCTGAGCGCCAGTTTTATACTATTTGGTTTTTTCTCAATAGAAAACTGACCTATAAAAGGTAATAATAATATTAAGTTTGATCATTTCTTCCTAGTACTGGCTTTTACTAGGCTCTTCATCTTACGTATTCTGGACATAGTATTAGAAAGGGCCTGTCCTTGGAAAAAGACTTCATGATGGGAATGGTAGAGGGTTAGCCGAAGAGAGAAAGAGCCTCAAGGAGATGGATCAACACAGTGACTGTGACAGTGGGCTCAAGCCTCTAGGAGATCATGAGGATAGAACAGAATAGAAAAGCTTCCGATCAGCTGTTCCTTGTGTCACTATGAGTCAGAGGCGACTGGATGATGCCCAACAACACCACCATCTTCTATACTATTTCAGTTAATCCCATTGCCTTCAAGTCAAAACTGACTCAGAGCTGAGATTGTACAACACAGGGGAGGAGATTTCTCCTATTATCTCTTGGAGTAATTGGTAGATTTGAACTACCTGATTTCAAGTTGGCAGCACAACTCCTAACCCACTAGGCCACCATCACTGATAAAGGAGATATCTCATTTAAAAAAAACCAAAACACTCCACTTGGGTTGATAACCTTAGAATGTGGTATTTGAAAAGAAAATAAATAAATAAATAAATAAAGAATGTGGTATTTGGGGTATATATGTATGTTCTTAGGTAAATTAAACTTGCCTATCAATTAGAATTAATGACTTGAGCCTACTTTACAACCAGTGCTTTGCTTGATTCTATTTTTGGTAGAAAGGAACTCTGTTGGCTTAGTGTGTTATGCATTGCACTGCTAACTAACTGAGAGGTCAGCAGTTCAAATCCACCAGTGCTCCAAGACAGAAAGGTGAGTAATCGCCTCCTATAAAGGTTTACATCCTCCAAAGCCTGAGGGAGAGTCGCCATGAGTCGGAATTCACTACACAGCAGTGGATTTGGTGTTTGATTTGTTATGGATATAAGAGCACATACAACATTGACCCTAACTTCAAGCAGATTATATTCTGGATCATGATGCAAGAGGAATGCGTGTAATAAATGCTGAGCAAATATGATCTAGCTGTACATAGGAGAGAGTGAGTGTCCTGGAAGTTTCTCTATTGAGTTTCACACCTACCAACCATTGAGCAGATGTTAAGTTGCATCAGATCCATGGATCATGCTCAAGAGCTTACATTTGGTGCCAGATGTTCTGAGGAGTGCAGTGCAGTGTGCATCCCAGTTGTCTAAAGAAACATAGAGTCTATTTGGGAACATAAAATGAATTCCTAATAAGGTAAGGAAATAGGAACTTCATATTACTGTCTCAGTCAAACGACCTAGTGGGTGATGAATGCAGGTTTTGTTGGCCATGGAATGAATTACGTACAAAGCTAAGTCATGCCCTATGCGACCATTAAAGGAGGAGGTGAACTGAGGCGGAGGGAAGCACAGGGGATGTGTATGCAGACATAAGCCTTTGAGAATGTGTGTGAACTGATTCCGGCCGAGTTAACAATTCACTGGAACAGACACTAGAGAAGAAAACGGAAAGGAGGAGAGGATAAATGACAAGGAGCTTTGAATGCAAGGATATTGAGCAAATGGGTACTTTTTATTTTGTCATAGAAATTCAGATTTAGACTATCAGGTGATATGAGGTATAAAACCAAATTCATGGACAGTGATAATTTAGACAGTGAAATACTTTTAAAGCTATTTGGATGTGCTCGAGTGGTGTGTGCGCTTGTAAATTTGAGGCTTTTTTTAAATCTTAACTGTAAATTTTCACATTAATTCTACACTTACAACACAGTGAAAGATACTATTTTTCTTGCTTGCTTTCTGGTTATATGTATTTTAGATCTTTTTTACATAGTTCTAATCATAGTGTAGCCACAATTATATATAATGCTTTTCTCACTTCATATGAGAAGCAGTTTTCACAGTTTACTGTATAATCTACTGAAGGTTTGGAATGAGGCAAGCATAGTGATTGTATGGTCTGTCCAATTTGGAAGTGGCAGCTTTTATCAAGGTATACATTTAACAATATGGAGATTTTACCATTTCCTTGCTATTAGCTTGACTTACTGCACTGGTGACACTGTCGCTCAAGATTTCCCTGCAGCCCCCCTGTTCCATTAGTCAAGTGGAAATCTCATAACTAAATAGTCACTCTGAGGTTTGTCAATTTCTTGCTGGGCACAGTGGATAATATGTGGCTGTCACACTTGAAAGATTCTCAGTGGGGAGGGAGCCAGTTCCCGTCCTCTGCACAGGATGAAGTAGGATTCTAGTGGGTCTCACTAAGGGCTGGACCTGCAGCTTGGACAAAACACAGAGACAGAACCATCAATTGGCCACCTGTTGGATATGTGGGCCACTGAAAGGCCAATTTGCTGGGATTAACAGAGGCCTGGCTTAATAAATGTGTCTGCTTTCCTGATGGATTTGAGTAAATGAACCTGAAAACACGAGATTTCACTTAGCACCGGGCACCAGACATTGGTGGCTGAAAGAGAACTCAAGAATCCTGTTGAGTGTTCAGCTCTATGAGGAAGGTGAAATCAGCCATGATGCCATAACAGCTGATGAAAAACAAAAGCAATTTGGAAAACAAAATTAGCTCCTGCCATTTCTCTAGCGCAGAAGTCTGTGGCCTGCAACCTGGGGACCAAGTGCTTGCCATTCAGCAAGCTTGTTTGCTGTGGCTCGGTGCCCTGACTGGCTGGTGGGTGGCATGCTTCCTCCCACCACAGATGGCATCCCCCTTGTCCTGCAGCCCTACAGCCTTTCTGAGCCCCTGGACTTCCAAGGGAAGCAACTATACGGGAAAAGGTCCAATCGGCTGGGGCAGGAGGGATGGTTCTCCTCTCAGAAAGAGATGTTCTTGCATCCCTACCATCAACCAGCCAAGACCATCATCTAGCCAATTCTCAGAGAAGAATGTGGGGGAAAGAGCAGGCCAGGCAAAGAACTGACAGCTGAAGAGATGGAATGGAAATAGTGATGGTTCCTTTAAGAGATCACCGTCAAGTGGGGTTGGACACATTGCCTGGTGATGAGAAGAGGGAGATGAGAGATGGCTCAGAGCAAGCGATGAATCAAACAGAAAAGCAGTGTCATATAGCTGTGGTCAGAGAGAGTCAGTCACACAGACAGGAAGGGGAAGAAAGCATTTGAGTACTTATTTTCTTGTTTTGTTTTTCTCTAAATATTTTATAATGAAAAATTGTAAACATAAAACAACTTGCTCAAAGTTTTACAATAAGCACCCATATTCTTTACCACCTAGAGTCTTCTTTGATACACTCATCAATTTAACTGAATTTTTATCTTCATTTTAGACAGATAGAAGCATTGTACCAAACACTTTGGCTTGCAAATCATAAAGTACAGTTAAATATTTATCTATAGTTTTTTAAAAGAGGTTTTAAATATGCCAACAATAAAATGCAAAAATGTGAAGTATGCATTTGCTGGGTTTTGACAAATGCGCATATCAATCTAAACCAAACTTATATAAAAATAGCGTGTTTTTATAGAATATAGACTGTAACTCCAAAAAGTTTTCTCATGATTTTTCTAAAATCCCCAGAAAACTGCCAGTCCCCAGATGCCACAGCCACTATAGTCTAGTTTTTTCCACTATATGGTAGATTTCCTATTCTAGAACTCATAAAAATATCATCATGCAGTATAAATTCTTCTGTATGAGACCTCTTTCTCCTCTTGTAATTTTGAAATTCATTCATACTAAGAGAAGGACATCATGCTTGGGTGAAGATGCTGGAAGATGTGGATTGACACAGATATTAGGGTAAGGGGGTAGGTGTGTCAGAAACAGTAAGCCTGGCTAAGGATAGGACAGCATTCACAACTGTAGCTGTGAGTTGCAGTCAACTTGATGGCACATAATAATATCAAGAGATAAATATTGCTGTTTACTCTTGCACATTGCTGACTATTCTTTCATTGTATACATAGACACTGTTGGTGTTATGTGCTGTCAAATTGGAACCAGCTCATAACTGAGACTCCAGTGGGTTTTCATAGGCAGGAAGTCACACTGGAGTTAATTGCCTATCTTTCTCCCACGTATCAGTTGATGGATTTGAACCGTGTGCCTTTGACAGCATAGCTCCTTACCACTAGGCCAACTAGAACTTCCTGAATGGACTATAGTGGTTTTTTTAAATTCCATTTTCCAGTTGACATATTCCAGGGTTATTTCTGATTTTCAACTGTCATGGATAGATACGTTGTTATGGATGTGTGTGTGTGTGTGTATGTGTGTGTATGGGGTGGTGCATGTGCACAAATGCACAAATGTTCACTTTTCTTGATGAAATTACTAGGATTTGAAATGCAGAGTCAAAAGTTAGTATAAGTTGAGTTTTACAGGAGATCATAAAGACTTTTGCTAAAATGGTACCATTTTATATTCCCACTTAAAATGTATGAGAATCTCACTTGCTCTGTACCCTCAGCAATATCTATTACCATTTCTTTTTTTATTTTCACTATCCTGCTGGGTGTATACAAGTTTTTCATTTTCCTTCTAAAGAACATGACTAGATTAAGTTGCCGAAGCAATTGTAAAAATCTCCAGATGGATATGAGCAGTTGGTTGACCAATAGAAGCCTGAAAACTCACCTAATACCTTTCATTAGCACCGTAGATTCTAATCACTGCTTCTGAGAGAGATTTGTTCATTGTTTTTACAGTCCATAGAATATTCAGTATTTTTTTGCTAACACTATAATTCAAAGACATCAATTCCCCTTTGATTTTCCTTATGTCTTGTCTATCCTTCACATACATAATGAAGTAATTGAAAATATCCTCACTTGATTCACATGTACCTTAATCCACGGAGTGACATCTTTAAAAATTTTAAAGAGGTCTTTTGCCAGCGATTTGCCTGTAAAATAAAGCCATAGAATTTTAAAGCCGAAGAAATCAGGTTACTGTACCAGACATCCCGTTGAAACGTCTGCGTTAGAAAAGATTCCAGTCTCACAGCCTCAGGGGCATTGGGAGAAGTCCTCTGAGCCTGTGAGGAGCTCATGGCCAGTTGAGAACACATGGGCAGGCTGTGTGGGTGCTTGCGGGCTCCCTCTCCCTACAAGGCAACTCTGAGTTCCTCCTAGTTGGCCATGTCATTATCCGCTATTACACTTATTAGCCTACTTCCAAGGGAGAAGGGGTCTTCTCCTCTGCACTTACGACATCTCTTCATAACCTGCCATAAGTTAGCCTCTTACTGTTATGTCTTAAATTCTGTTGTTGTTTGTTGTTTGGTGCCGTCGAGTCGTAGACGACTCACAGCGACCCTATGAACGAATGGCCTGAGCACTGTTCGTACATAGAGTTTCTGGAGGCAAGCCATTTCAGAAGTGGATGCCGCTCCTGCTTCCAGGCTTGATTTAGTCGGGAAGCTCCAGCCAACACCGTCCACCATGGGTGTCCATTACCACGATTGGCACATCACTGTCACAGGCTTCAGCATCACAGCAACCACGAGTTACCTCTGTACAGCAACGCACAGACCATTGCTATACCACCTGCACGTCAAACACATGCCCGGAAAGCAGTCGACTCCAGAAGCTTGCCACGATTCCTGCGCTCACACCACCATGCTCCTTCTGGCCAGGAAGCAACAAAAATCTTAAGAGGACAGAGGCCTTAGGATGACCACTGGATACTTATTCTTCGATGTCAAGATCCACACTCTCTTCTCTCCAAATAAGCATACATTTGCTTTTATGAAGATTCAGATTCCAGAAGAAAGAATAATTACATGTTTCTGTTTTTGTCCTTGGGGAGATCTTTATCTTTTACAGTGATCAGAAAGAAAAAGAAGAAAGCAAAGAGATTTAAGATAATCACAGATGTTCATATGTTTGTGTTTTCCTACCTGTTTTCTTTAAGAAAAAGTTAAAATTACTTTGTGACGGGCAAACATTGACAAAATAAAAAGCCAGTCATATGGCCGTGTATCCAATTTACATATATTTTCTATTATTTACAAGGCAATGTGCCGAGGGTGAGTGCTAAAGAAGGAAATAAAATGTGATCACATCTCTGAAGGGTTTCACACTCCAGCAGAATACAAGAGAGAAAGATAAGTGATATGGAAAACATAAATTATTTCCTGTTCCCAAGACCAGTGGAGACAGATGACAAAAACAGCTTCAGCTTTGCCCCAGGAGAAGGAACCGAGTAAACTTCCAAACCAAGGGTCTCCTGTTTTTATCCGCATCCCTAAGGACTAGCACTGTACCATGTTTTTCAAGTCTATTAATAGTCTCCCTGAATATTGGGTATAATCACAGTTTTAGGAAGCTGTGTAAAGCAATCTTTTTTTTTTCCCCCAAGTTGGGATCTCTTGGGGCTATGCAAATGCTATGCAGATTTATGAGAGTCTGATGTTTTAAAAAAAGCAAGGAAATCTGCTGTCTTTGCTGTGAGTTTCCATCAAGTTGCCTTTGGCTCACAAAGACGCATGGGCATTGGATCCTTGTCCAATCCTGACGCTTTCTGGGTCCCCAGTGAGCTTGAGTCCCTTGTTTTGGTCTCTGTGTTCCTTAAGGTCCACCTTCCAGCACTATGTTGGACAGTGTTCTGTTGTATTCTATAAAATTTCCATGGACAACTTGTTGGAAATAAATGGCCAGGCCTTTCTTGATAGTCTGTCTTTGTCTATACGCTCCACTGAAGCCTATTTATGACAGGTGACCCTGCGAGTGTGTAAAACCAATGGCATAGCTACATGTATGTCACCATAGCAAAATAATGACAAAATTATGCATGATAGAAGACATAATGAGTGTTTTTACTTCTCCTCCTCATAGCCCCACATCACCTTGGAGAGCAGTATTTCCTTCACATTCCCTGCAGAGGGGTCCAGCACCATCACTGTCCAGGTAGCTGCTGGAAACGCGCTTATCCAGGACACAAAAGATATCGCCGTTCATGGTAAGCTTTGAATATTGCCCTGAGATGTCCCCTCTTGCCTGAACAAGTTTTCTCCCTCAATGGAATTTCCTCCATGGAATTTGCAGGCCATGGGAAATGATTTAAAACTCATATCTTACTGCTGGGAAGAGACTGAGAGAAGCTTGTAATAGGCATTTCTTGTTTACTCTGATATGCCTGCATCCCAACCTTTGTGGGGTTCTCGTTAACTGTTAAGTTGTTGCTATATGCTGTTAAGTGGGGACCCAATTTATAACCAACATGAATGACAGGTGTAAGGAAAGCTAAATTGGAAAGACTGTCTTCTAGAAGGAGCTAGTTCTAACGCCCTGTTGGACTATAAACAACACACACGCAGCACTCACTTTTGGTGAGAGTGGGGTCAATGATTCCAAAAGCTCCCTCTCTTTCACTCACCTCCTACATTTCTAAATACAGCGTCTTTCTCCATGTTCTGGCCTCTTCTAATTACATGCACAAAGTATGTGAGACAAAGTCTCATGATCCTTGCCTCCAATAAGGTAACCATTCTGTTCTTGATTATGGAGAACTGTCCTTAAGTATTAAACTTACTGTAAATGAAGTTGATTGTTTTTCTGCTTCATCCTGCAAAAGATCCCTCATGTCTCCAGGGACAACCACAATAGCTAGGTTGTCCAAAAGGTAGTGGTGGCGTGTATAAGCTTTAAACTTAAACTACGTTTCTTTAGCCTCATCCCAGATGACAGCCTTTTTCTACATCTCAGATCTTATCTGAAAGCAAAGAGTAGCAAAAGAATGTCTATCTGTACTTCATTGACTATGAAAAGGCATTTGACTGTGTGGATCACAACAAAATGTGACTATAACCTTCAGAAGAATGAGAATCCCAGAACACTTGATTGTGCTCATGTAAAACCTATACTTGGGCCAGGAAGCAGTAGTAGGAACAGAACAAGGAAACACTTCATGGTTCAAAATCATGAAAAGAGTGTGTCTGGGATGTGTCCTGCCTCTGTACCTTTTCAATCTATTTGCAAAACAGATAATACAGGAGGCTGGACTTTATGAGGTGGAATGTGGCATCAGGATTAGAGAAAAAGACTCATTAACAACCTGCATTATGCAGATGACACAACCTTGCTTGCAAAAAATGGAGAAGGACCTGAAGTGTTTGCTGCAGCAGGTCAAGGACTGTAGTCTTCCATACTGATTGAAGCTCAACATCGAGAAGACAAAGATTCTCACCACTGGGCCAATTGGTAACAGCATAATAGAAAAAAGAAGAGATTGAGATTGTTAAGAATTTCTGCTTGCTTGACTCCACAATCCACATTCTTGGCCTGAAAAAGTCAAGACATCAAAAGACAAATTGCTCTGGGGAAAGCTTTTATCAAGGACCTCTCCAAAGTGCTGAAGAGCAACTGTGTAAGTGTAGGGAATAAGGTGTGCCTGATTCAGGCCATGGTAATCACAGTTACTTGCTGTGTATCAGAGAGCTGGACAGTGACTAGGGTTGACAGAAGGATTGATTCTTTTGAGTTGTGCTGGAGAAAAGTCTTGAACATACCATGGATTGTCCACAGAACAAACAGATTTACCCTGGAAATGTTGAGACAAGGCTGCTCCTTGGAGGTAAGGATTTTGAAGTTCAATCTTACATACTTTGGTCATGTGGCAAGGAGAGACCAGTCTCTGGAGAAGTTCCCTGGACCTTCCATCATACTTACAACGGTGAAGGGCCAGCACGGAAGAAGACCCTAGATGAGATGGATTGACACAATAACTGAAGTAAATGGGGGTAGATGTGTCAGAAACAGGGAAACTGACTCAAGATAGGGCAGAGTTCAAAGCTATTGTACAATAAGGTTGCTGAGTCACAGGAGACTCAACTGCACATAACAACAACATGAACTGCAAACTTCCTGCTCAAAATCTGATCAAATGGACAAAATTTAAGTAAACATCTTTATTGAAATATATAATTTATATAGAAAAGTGCACAAATCCCAAGTGTTTTGCTTGATGGATTATTCCAAAGTGAAGACACTTGTGTGTACACCCTTTACATGGTCAAGGAATATAATATTACTAATACTCTGGACCCAGGGATTGTTTTATTTTACTTTTTAATCCTTACAGGCAGATCCTAGTAGAAAGGACAAATGTATTAAGAAGAGAAGAGAAAAAAGGACTCCCTTTAGATAAAGCTCAAGTTGTTAAGGATTTTGTTGGCTCTGCGTCATATCACCTACAATAGCAAAAGCCTCCTTCTTCAGAGACTGCATAGATAGCTTTTATTCCAGGTAATACTCTTTATAGACAAGGGCTTAAAATCTTAGGCCCTAACAAGACTGGTAGAAGAAGAAATCTGTCTCCAATCACCAAATCCCACTTTATTTCAGAAGCTGAGAAACAGGTTAAAATTAGGAAGGATAGCTGAAGACACAGAAAAGAGTGGGTCTTTGCCCTGCTGCTCGGGGATCATGGAGTCCCCTTGCCTGTCGCCCTGTGACTCATCGCCCCCTCCCAGCTTCATTCGTATGCTTTCTTTCCTTGCAGAATATTTCCAGTCGCAGCTCTTATCCTTCTCTCCCAACCTGGATTACCACAATCCTGACATTCCTGAGTGGAGGCAAGACATTGGCAATGTCATCAAGAAAGCGCTAGTGAAAGTAAGTTGGCTTTATCTTTGTCATTGTGAATAAAAAAAAAGAGAACATATGATTTGAGCCTAGGCATTTTCAACATTATCTTAAAATTAGAGGCTATATCTCTGTCAAAGTAGCATGACTAAAGAAAGAGCATAGAGGAAGGAGAGATGAATAAATAGATGTACAGATAGAAAGAGATATACTTAGAGAAATTGAAAATAGAAGGGATGTGAAATATCTATTGAAAGGTGGAAATCAGAGGCCCTGTATTTATCCTGAGTTTTTCTAAAACAGGAATTTGGACCTTAAATGAACTAATGACTAGATCCCTCATGACTCCTTGTGGACTGATACTATATGCTCAGTAGGTACAAGGTCCACCAAGGAGAGATCTCCTTCACAAGACTTCTGGACTCCCAAGTCTACCACTGGCCATGCGTGGCATTCATAGGCTATACACCAGCAAACATGCCCTCAGAGGAAAAGAGTTACAGGGTCAACACAAAACCAGATTTCCTTTAGAGAAAATGCTGAGTTTTGTTAAATACTTGTTCAGAATTAGGTACTAGACTATAAAAGTGAATGAAACAAGGCCCAGCGTGCCACTAGTTGGGTGATGGTGGCATAGCCAGTGCCATGAGGGAGGACAGAGAAAAAAATATGACCCACTCTTTATGCATAAATGAGGCACAGACTTTCAGTTCAACACATACTGTTGAGATGGTCTTCTAAAGGGATACGTAATTGGACGTTTAAAGGATAAATGGCCATTCACAAGAAGAGCATGGTATCTTTCCTGTTCAATGCGCAACATGTGCAAAGTTATCGACTTGTAAAATAGTGGTATATTTGGAACATGGCAAAAGAATTTGATGTTACCAATCTATAATCCATAATGTAGCTAAATTTGCACTAAAATAATTACCTTTTCAAGGATACGAGAAGCTAAAACTATCTGGTCTGTGTCCTATTGGCAGTTAATACTATTGTTGTTGGGTATCATCATGCCAACTCCAACTCTTAGTGACTCAATGTACAACCGAGGAAGTGCTGCCCATGCTCTGCCACCCTCACCTCTCCATTGCTCTTAGGTCCAGAGTTGCAGACACTGTGTCAGTCCATCTCATTGAGGGTCATCTTCTCCTTCACTGACCCACCACTTTGCCAATCATGATGTCTTTGCCCAAAGGCTCGGAAATAGAAAAGTGTTTTGGCTTTTCTTCTAAGTTAGAAAATGCTGCAATAGATTTACACTTGAGTCTTTTAGTCTGCTGGCACTGCAGACAATGGGTTCCTGAGTGAGAAGCATAGAGGGTAGGAAGAGACTTCACAAACGGCAACTGGTTAAAAGATCACTGCAGTTATCTGGGTCAGAGATCCAGGGTCCTGGAAGAGGAGACGTTCAAAGGCTGCTTAGGACTTTAAGCAATATCATAACTAATGAATGGCTGATGACATGCTATGTGAATGAGAGGGAGAGAGATTCTTTTTTTATTAGAAGGATAGATAGAAATAGATAAGAAGAATAGCTTTGCCATTGATCAAGATACAGGCTTTGTAGGAAAAAATGGGTGGGAGAAATAAGATGGTTTATCTTAAAATAATTCATTTGGAGCACACAAGAAACTACAGGGTAAAGATGAACAGGGAAGTTGAAAATCAAGGTCAAGGAGAGGCTCACAGTGAAGGTAAAGATGTAAGAGCTGGAGCGGTGAAGGTTGTTAGGGTCCCCAGGAAGAAGAGGGTTAGTTAGCTTGTTGTTGGGTATCATCATGCCAACTCCAACTCTTAGTGACTCAGTGTATCAACCGAGATTAGTGTTGGTTAGAACTCAGGACAAAGGAGGAACACCAGGGCAAGAGAGGGGAAAACTGCCAGAAAGAATGCAGGGTCAGCAAGAGAGCGTGTTAAGAGAATCTCTTGCAAGTTGTCCAGGAGATGAAATTCACCTCAAGTCTTTCTAACAATGAGGTCATTCATAGGAAAACAGAACAATGGGACTGTCCAAGGATGCATTTAATCCAAAGTGTCCATCATTTTGTTGTTTTCTTACTTCATTTGTTTAAGGAACATGCTGTATTTCTGATAAGGAACAACAAAGAGTCCCACCAGCCAGTGCTGGTTAGGATACTCTCCTTTCACACCACACTACTGGGGTCCCTTAGAGTCTTGTCTCCTGAGACTCGATAGGTGTAAGCTAACACCTTCCGGCCCGTGGATTAAGCACTGAAATTTCCACCTGTTCAAAGGCTGGCCCCCTGGCAAAATAATGAGGCGTTTTAGGAAAGCAGCCTTGGTTTCGGGTGGCTTCCTGGTTTGCGGGTTTTTAGGCTCCTGATTCTGCATTTTCTGGCAGGTTACTCTCTCTGTTCATTATCACCTCTCTGAGCCTTAGTTCCGATCTGTAAGCTGAGTTCCAGATAGGAATCAGAGCTGAGCAAATGGGAAGCAACTCACCTTCTGCCTCTATTTACTTCTGCAAGTATTTATTGAATCTTTTCTCAGTGACTAGCATCATTTAGAACTATGGAGCAGTCACAAAGACCCATGGGGATGTGTGGGCTTCTGTAGAAGGTAAACATACTATGAGAGAGCAAACAGAGAAGACTGTATCAGACAGATACGATAGCATGTCACCATGGATGTGTTCCTGAAACACGGTGGGTATAGTAACCCAGAAGTGCATGGGAAGGGAGGCCAGAGTGAAGGAGATCGCTGCAGGCAGTGTAGTCAAGGGAGACTTCCTGGAGGAGTTAAGTGTTCCATCTGAATAAAAATTGTCCTATTGAAAATAAAAGTTGTCCTATTGAATATGATGGAAGAAAGGGTGATATTCAAGATCATGTGGTGGTGGTGGTGGTGGTAGTGGTGGTGTGCTACTGATTTAGAATTGACTCAGACCTGACCCTCCAGTGAGTTTTCAGAGACAGTAATTCACACAGGAAGAGACTGCCCATCCCTCTCTCATGGAGCATCGGGTGGATTCAAACCACTTACTTTTTGATTGAAGCTCAGCTTCTTACCACTAGACCACCAGAGTTCCCTCAAGATACACAGAAAAAAAGCACAATAATACTAGAAGAATGACCCAGTGTTTTGTTTTCTTTGAGAATTTGCTCTTAGACAGAAGTCTCCATTTAAGTTTTTTAACAAAAGCAATAAAATAATGTCATCAAGCGTTAAGAAATAAAAAAATTCACTCATGATCTTAATATCTTTTTTTTATCTTAATATCTTAATGTAACTTTTATATCTATTCTAGGATTCCCCCCCCACTTCTGTTTATATAGAATTGTAACCAGAGAAATAGAACAGAATGCAGCCCTGTTTTTACACTGTGTTCATCACCATCTTTATGGCAGGGTAATGCTTGTATATAAATAGAAAAGTAGCTAGATACACACATGTAGACTTACATATTTATATGTACCTCAAAACCTTAATATTACTTATGTAATATTTCTTATTTATTTTCTTTTTATAAATTTTATTATTTTTGTGTGAGTGTACCGTCAAATCAGATCTGACTGGTACAGGAGAAGATTGTCCCTCCTTCCCCAGCAGAGCATCTGGTGGATTCGAACCATGCGCCTCTGGGATTGTAGTTGTAGCTCCTTACCACTAGGCCACCAGAGCTCCCCTATTTATTTTCGCTATCTGATTTATTCACATTTAGCCGCAGCTATAAATCATGTGCTAAGTATTTCTACATAAAGATTTTCCTATACTTAGGATCACTTCTTGAGGAAAAACACTATCCTATTTACAAATGCTGAAGGAAGGACATGCAGACTTTTGATGGCCTGAAAGTCAGTCTCTTGAAAAATCACTTTGGCAATATGACAGTATATATCATTTTTTAGTGCCACAAGCAACAAATTAAAAAAAAACCACACCAAAACACCAACACACCCCCTCACTGTAAACTCACTAATATTATGTGCTTTGCAAGCAGCAAATTAAAAAAAAAAAACACACCAAAACACCAACACACCCCCTCACTGTAAACTCACTAATATTATGTGCTTTGCAAGCAGCAAATTAAAAAAAATACACCAAAACACCAACACACCCCCTCACTGTAAACTCACTAATATTATGTGCTTTAACTTAACACCAAAACATTCTCTTTAGTAACTGGAAAGAAGCACTTCCATGCCTGATTTTTGTTTATTTCCTGTTGCTCATGTTTATTTCAAATGCAGTTTCCTCCTTTGCAGCCGCTCTGCTTTTGTTTCAACCAGACGCTCCAGTCCTGGAAAGGCAGAAAAATTGACATCTATGGGAAGAGCTTGTTCATATGTTCCCAAAATGTTTTAAAATCATCTGCATGACATTTTAGTTTCCATAAAACTGTGTATAGGAACAGAAGAAACTAATACTCATTTGATCCAACACTTGTGGGAAGAAATAGAAAGCAAGCCTGCATGTACTTTGTACTTCATGCCTAAAATGCAGTGTATTAAAAATCAGTAGGAGCCTTGGAGCTGTGGAAACCCTGCTCCTTGTCATCAAGGTGGGGAAGAATATGTCCTCTGGGATCTCACTGTAGGGTCTCACCATCTTTATAGGTAACCAGTGTCCCAGAAGAACAGATTCTTGTGGCAGTATTCCCCGGCCTCCCCACGTCAGCAGAGCTCTTCATCCTTCCTCCCAAGAACCTGACCGAGAGAAGGAAAGGCAATGAAGAGGACCTGGAAGAAGTAAGTAAAAAGAAACTTAATGCAAAACTTGGCCCCCATTCTCCACTTTGAAGGGTCAAAGAGTCATTTCATGACAGAAGTACAGTTCTCATTGAACTATTAATCTGTCCTTAGTATGTCCAGAGCCTGGGCTTCTGAAGGACACTTATCTTTACCTAAAATAAACACATATAAATTATAACCAGCACAAAGGGAGAAAACAACCTTGGTATCATTCAGTTCATCTGTTACCATCTTGTCTCTTCTCATGTCTCACTCTCAATGCTTGTTCTCCTTCTGCAAAGAGAGAAGATGAAAGAGAGAGATGGGTTTGTTGGTTGAATGACTTGACTTGAGTTCATCAATTAATCTCTTCTCTTTTTAGGGGAACTGCTTTTTATTTTTAAGCTACATTGTATGTAGAGATTCCTGGTCAATTTGAATTTGCTTCTAGGGAGAAAACCAACCTCACTGGAACATCTCCTCTCTGGAGAACAATGGATCATTTCATCTTTCTTTGAAAAAGGAAATAGCATTTCTAAGAAGCATGATTTACCGCCCTTAGCAAATGGGAGCATAATTTTTGTGATCTGAACACTCTCTGGCTGTCTCACTAATTCACCAATCCCCATCACCCCAGTTACTGTATCAATCCAGCTTATCCAGGGTCTTCCTCTCCTGCACTGTTCCTCCACCCTTCCAAGCATGATGTCCTTCTCCAAGGACCTGTCTCTCCTGGCCATGTGCCCAAAGTATGTGAGAAGGAGCCTCAAAATCCTAGCCTCCAAGGAGAAACTTGGTTTCACCCTCTCCAAGACAAACCTGTTTGTTTTCTTGGCAGCCCATGGTATGTTCAAGACTCTTCTCCAGCACCACAATTCGAAGGCATCTATACTTCTTCTGTCATCCTTAGTCTTTGTCCAGCTCTGTGATACACAGCAAGTAATTGCAACGACATGGCCTGGATTAGGCACACTTTTGTCTCTAGACTGATATCGTTGCTTTTTAGTACTCTGGAGAGGTCCCTGACAGCAGGTTTTCCCAATGTGGTTTGTCTTTTGATTTCCTGACTGCTGGTGTGAAGAGTATTGATTGTGGAGCCAAGCAAGCCGTAATTGTTAACAATCTCAATTTCTTCTCCATCTGTCATGGTGCTGCCAATTGGCCCTTCATTCTATTCAATTCAAGGGAATAATACCAACTACTTTGTTGGCTATCTGAAGCTCCAAGGACAGCAAGAACCAAACTGATAAACAGGCTCCGGTACCCTTTTACTGTACACTTCCTGAATCCAGAACTGTGGACTTGACCTCTGAACGACCGTGGTCATTGTTGCCTGTTGGTCTTATGCCTGGTTGCTGACCTGTGAGAGAGAACCCCTCTATAGCATCATGTCATCTACAGCCATTTTTTTCTTTGGTTTCCAGGTTGTAGAGTTGTTATTTAACGCTCTAAACCAGAACTTGGTTCAGTTTGAGCTGAAGCCGGGTGTTCAAGTCGTTGTGTATGTCACACAGCTGACATTAGGTAAGTGCCTGCTGGGAGATGAGAGTGGTCACCTGTCAGCCTGCGGGGAGAGGAAGGAGAAAATCACAAAGCACTTCCAAGAGCCTGACAATGGCTTTGCAGAAGGGTCCTTTTGTGTAGTGAGAATTCAGAAAGATAAACCGTGTCCTTTAGGAAGCATCTGTTGGGGTGGCCGGAAGACTCCCTTAGAAGCCACTGAAGCCCAGGATGATCTTGGGGGAAAATGACAGTTTCTTTGGGCATTGTTGGTTTCATTTCTTTGTTCAGTATATTGTCCTGACTCACCATGGTTGAGACTGAGTAAAGTAGTTCACCAGTTACAGTGGTTGTCCTGGAGTCAACTATCCCCATAGTAACACTGCATGCTAGGTTCTAAATTTCTCCAGTCCTCTGAACCCTGTTTGGAAGGCCAGATCAGCTCACCTGAAAAGATACTTCTACTTTATGATGTGTGAGTTAAAGCAGCAGTTGGGACCAACTCAACCTGCTTGATGTGTGGCAGGAATCCCAAATGCATGTCCTATGGGGCACCCGTTTCTGCCTCTCTGGGAGCGCTTACTTGCTAAGTGGCTCTTACTGAGGTAAGGCTTCAGATGTGGAGGCTCCCACCACACCCATCCAGCTGTGTCTTACAGAACAGAGCACAGAAAGAGAAAGAATCAGTGTGTTAGTATTTAATCCTGAGTTCCCAAGGAGTCTCATTCATACAGTCATCAACAGGCTCTCAGACTATCAAAGAGAAAGAGCTTATTCTGCTCCCCTCAGTGGGACACGTATTGCTCAGTTTACACCAAGAGTGATGTGATTTCCCAGGCGGAGAGGAGTCTCTTTTCCTTAAGAATTTGTGGTTAGGGAGACCCTTCTCATCATTGAGGCCAAGCTTGAGAGCTCACACAGCAATTGGAGACTGGGAATAAAGGTGGAGACCAGCTGGCTCCATTCTCCAAAGGAGACTCCCTTGTAATAGCTTCCTGATGAATGTGTCTCTTTCCTCCTAGCTCCATTGGTGGACTCCAGTGCAGGACACAGTAGCTCGGCCATGCTGATGCTCTTGTCTGTGGTGTTTGTTGGCCTCGCCGTGTTTTTGATTTATAAGTTTAAAAGGTATGTGCTACTCTCCCTCTCTGTCCAACCTGGGGGCTAGATTCATGACAGCTGATCTTCCCATAACCAGGATCCCTAAACTAATCTCAAGAATATGTTCTCAACTCTCCATAAAACACTGATGCTGAGGATCAAGAAATAAATAGACTTCAGAACCTGAGCTTATACAATTTTTATGTATAACGAGTTAGGGAAGTTGTAACTAGCCTATGAAATCAATTTTTCTCTTCAAGAGAAGAGTAAGGAATTTTAACTCTCATCCGAGTTTCCCAAGTGAGAGTTCAATATTCAGGCTCATTTTTTTCCCCCTGCAGCTCAGCATCCATTCAGGAAAATTACACAGAAAAACTACACCTAAAATCTGATATTCCCAAGTACAGAAACACACATACTGTCTTATCTTGCAGCAAACCTGTATCTCTGTTTATATTTGCATGAGAAAAGATTCACCCTTCATTCTTCCTACTCTTTACTGTTAGTAAAGATAAAGTGTTTAGATGAACTGATTCCATATATTCAGAAGTCATTTTTGAAGACCAACAGCAAAAACCAATCTATGGGATCCATGGAGTTTTAATGGCTGATTTTTCAGAAGGGGATCTCTAGAACTTTCTCCAAGGTTCCTGTAGGTATGCTCAAACTTTTAACCTTTCAGCTGCGAGTCAAGTGCGTTAACCTGTTACATCAACCAAAGACTCCTCTGAAAGAATGCTCATCAGGATCATTTAAATGAGCTTATTTATTTAAAAAATGGAATTAAAATCAATAACTTGTAACCGTTATTAAAACTGAGGAGCACCTGAAGCTCTTGCTGCAGAAGGTCAAAGACTGCAGCCTTCAGTATAGATTGAAGCTCAACATCACAAAAACAACGATTCTCACCACTGGGTCAATTTGCAGCATCATTATGAATGGTGAAGAGATTGAGATTGTTCACACTTTTAGTTTGCTTGACTCCATAATCAACACTCTTGGTACCAGCAGCCAGGAAATCAAGAAATGAATTGCATTGGGAAAGTCTGCTGTTAGAGACCTCTCCAGAGTACTGAAGAGCAATGACTTCAGTCTGAAGACTAAGGTGCACCTGATCCAGGCCATAGTCTTTGCAATTGCTTGCTATGCATCAGAGAACTGGACAATGACTAGGGATGGTAGAAAGAGAATTGATGCCATTGAGCTGTGGTTCTGGAGAAGAGTGTTGAATATACCATAGATAGATAGAGAACAAATAGGTTTATCCTGGAGAAGGTGAAACCAGGCTTCACCTTGGACGTAAGGAGCCTGGAAGCTTCGTCTGACATAATTTGAATATGTTACAAGGAGGGACCAGTCCCTGGAGAGGGACGTCATGCTTGGGAGGGTAGAGGGACAGCACAGGAGAGGAAGATCCTTGATGAGATGGATTGATTCAGTGACTGGGGTAATGGGGGTAGGTGTGCCAGAGACAATAAGGTTGGCACAGGATAGATCAGGGTTTAGTGCTCTTGTACATAGGATCGCTATGAATCACAAGTGACTCGACGACACATAACAATATATGCTTGAGTATGATACGGCACTAGAAGTACAATGGAGAAGGTGTTCTGGTTAATAGCATAAATGTTAAAATCTAGCGGACCTTAATTATAACACCTAAAACATTTTCATCTGGTTCTATAATCCTTATATTCCTCGTATGAAAATTGGGGGAAATAGAAAGATTCCGTTCATACAGTGCTGTGTGATTTGACGCAGTCTGTAGGGAGTTGTAATGCTAACCCAACATGCATGACCTGCTGGCTGTTCAAATCCACCAGCAGCTCCAGGGGAGCAAATGACGAGTATCCTCCAGTGGAATTTACAGTCCTAGAAACCCAACGGTGATTCAGCTATGAGCGGGTTCAGGCTCCATGGCATTGAGTTGAGTTGGTACTTAGAGTTGGTGATTTGAATAAAACCATCACTTTGTGAAAGAAGGATGTGACAGTCTCATCCTGTAAAGATTACAGTCTAGGAAATCCTATGGGATGTTTCATCTCTGTCCTACAGTGTGGCTGTGAAGAAGAATCAACTCAGTGAAAAAGTAGGTTTTGTTTCGTTATCTGAGCTCACATTCAAACGCCCTATCCATGTTCCCTTTGAAGAAAGGAGAAACCCTTGAGATCACATTTAGAGGGAAAGATTCAGCATAGAAAACAGTCTGGTGAAGGCCGTACCCATTCATAGAAGTACTTCAGCCAAATGCCAACAAAGCCACTCATTCAAGAATGTGATTGTGGGGAAGCGTGGAGATGGCTGGACTTGAGGACTGACTAAATGTATCATCATCTGGCTCTCAGGACTTTATTTTGCTGAGAAAAAGGGGTAATGTATGCTCTGCAGAGGTCCGTGTGTGTCAGGCGGCTGCAAAGGAAAGCCAGGCTTTGTCTGTTCTCAGAAAGTGTTCCCTTATAAACGCTACTAAAACTCTGGAGACTATCAACTTATAATACTGGCATCTTTAAATTTGTATTCCTAAATCCACAGCAGTTAATAATATCCCTGAATTTTCCTACCTTTGTATTTCCCAAATATCAGTTACTCCTTGTTCTATCCCTGAAAGTGGATTATGTAACTGAAGCTACAGAAAACAAAGGTCGAGCTGCATAAACAGCAGTCAGCTAAGAATAGCCCTTCACAAGTCAGCTTTTCTCTTCCTAACTCTTTTTTTTTGGAAGTTTTCCTTCCACAGTCAGGCTCTTTGGTTGGAGTTCTGTTGGGTTTTCTTTTCTACAGTTTATCTCCTGTTCACCTGGAAAAGAATTTGCTGAGAAGTAAAGATCAAAGTTCTCCGTCTCCTTTGCTTAGTCCATCAAATAGAGCTTTTCTGCCATGGTGGGAATTGCCTGGGATATGTGCGATCCTGTGCAAGAGCCACTCATATGACTTTCATATTGATTTCATTGTAACTAATTGATATTAAATTGACTGTATGTGGCATCTAGTTTGAATCCACCAGCTGCTCCGTGGGAGAAAAATGGGCCATCTCCTGTACGATTTATAGCCTAGGGTCAGCTATGAATTGGTTCCCACTCCATGACACGTAACAACAGTATATGTGGCAGTAAACATTGTGGGATGACATAGTTTAGGGAAAAGGCTGGGCTCTATGAGGAGAAGTGTGGCATCAGGATTGGTGGAAGATCTATTAACAATCTGCATTATGTAGATGATACAACCCTGCTTGCTGAAACTGAGGAGGACCTCATGCACTTGCTGCGAAGGGTCAAGGACTGCAGCCTTCAGTATGGACTGAGGCTCAATGTCAAGAAGACAAAGATTCTCGCCACTGGACCAATTGGCAGTGTCAGGATGGATGACGAAGAGATTGAGATTGTTCACAGCTTCAGTTTGCTCGGCTCCACGGTCAACACTCTTGGCACCAGTGGCCAGGAAATAAAAAAATGTATTGTGATGGGAATCTCTGCTGTTGGAGACCTTTCCAGGATACTGAAGAGCAATGGTGTCTCTCTGGAGACTAAGGTTCATCTGATACAGGCCATGGTCTTTGCAATTACTTGTTAAGCATCAGAGAGTTGGACAATGACTAAGGAGGATAGAAGGAGAATTGATGCCTTTGAGCTGCGGTGCTGGAGAAGAGTATTGAGAATACCATGGACTGCCAAGAAAACAAACAGATTCATCTTGGAGAGGGTTAAACCAGGCTGCTCCTTGGAGGCAAGGATTCTGGGGCTTCGTCTGACATACTTTGGACATGTTGTAAGGAGGGACAGGTCCTTGGAGAGGGACATCATGCTTTGGGAGGGTGGAGGGACGGTGCAGGAGGGGAAGACCCTCTATGGGGTGGATTGATTCAGTGACTGGGGTAATCAGGATGGGTGTGTCAGAGGCAGTGTGATTGGCACAGGATAGAGCAGGGTTTAGGGCTGTTGTACATAGGGTCGCTATGAGTTGCAAGTGACTCAAGGGCACATAACAACAACAACAACAATCACTTTCTATGCTCAAGATTTAGCCCTAAACCTCCTTTTCTGTAATCCTCATTATTATACTTTGCATAAAAGTTTGCAAAGCAAATTTGTTTTCCATTGAATCACTCATACACATTTTGTATTGTAACATTAATCACAATACCCACAATGGAATGTCACTCTTATCACTTCCCTAGAATTCTTAAGTCCATGAGATCTTCTGTCATACCGCTTCCTGTTTTCTGGGTCTTATCCTATAAACATTGGGGTGTCAAATGCCATAATGGTTACCCGTTGTGGACACTGGAGCTCCCAGTTTAAGGCAGAGTTGGAAGCAGGAGTGGCGTCCACTTCCTAAACAATATGCCTCTGAGAACACTATGAACTTTGATAAATGTCGATAGAAAGGCTTCAGGCCTTTTGTTCCTAGGGTCACTGTGAGTTATGCTCGACTCGATGGCAGTCAGCAATGACACAACAGCATCCTGTAGACAAATAGTGTTCTTTTCATTTTATTTGGTTGACTAGTCTGAGGACTTTGCACCTCCACAGTGTTAATTTATTGCTCACATGATAAGCATAGACTTTGGCTGAAAGTTGAGCCCCTTGTTTTTTTTTTGTTTGTTTTGTTTTGTTTTGTGTGTGAGTGTGTGTGTTTGTGCGTGTGTGAGTTTTACTACAGCTTTGAAGGGTGACAAAGGGACACAGTCTGACAGATTTACCAGTATCTATCAGACCAGTAAGCCTGGCTTTCTTCATGTTTCTTTAGTTTTGTTCCACATTTTCCTCCATTCTATCCCCATCATTAACTATTAAACCATTCATTCAAACATTTGTTGAGTGCCTACTCTGTGTCAGTCATTGAAAATGACCTCATTTGTCCCAGTAGTCACTTGACAGGAGGGAGAATAAAGCTAGCATGAACCCCAAGCTTCCTTTTAAGTAAATAAAACTCTACCTCACTGTTCCATTTTGTTCTTGGTGGTTGGCTGCTATTTTTAATATCTTAGAGTCATAATTAAAGGTCACTGTGAGATAGCTTTTACTCTC